AGTGCCAGCAGTGCACCCCTATTAATCCAGGATAGGAGTACAGCACTGTGGGGGGATTGGGCCCAAAATCTGAGAATGGGGGTCTGGTAACCTGTGAGCTGGGGAGTTCATGGTAGCATTCTGGAGGTAATAGGAGCTCCCGAGAGCCGGGGAAAAGGGTCCCCAAAATCGTGCCTATAGATAGCCCTTGGGAGAAGTGCTTCAGAACTGGAAAACCAACCCCAAAACTAGGGACAAAGACAGGAAAGAGATGTTTAAATACGGTGCACAGATATGGCCTAGAGAGCCTTTACAGGGAAAATGAGTATTTTGGCCAAAATACAGATCTGGCAAAGATTGGACCTGTCAGATTCTGAATTCGTATGTAAAGAATAAAACTCCCTTGTCGGAGGAAGAAATAGAATATGCTGCTTGCTGGTCACGAGAGGTCAGTCTATTACTGGCAAAGAAAGATTTGGATCAGGAGGAGGAGGAATCGGGAAAGAAAGTTAATCAATGGGATCCCCTGGAGAATCAACCCATTCCATCCAGCCCTAATGTAGTGCAGGAGGCATCGGGCACTTCCCCAGAAGAGCAAGAGAAAACTCATAGTTATTTCACAGGAAGGAGGGCATGCTGGGCTCAGGAGGGAGTTAGAGCAATGTAAGAGGGATATCGAAAACTTTCCTTTCCCTGACACTGACCACACTAATACTTCTATATACTCCCTATGGGAGTACACTGTCCACTGGGACAGGGGCAAATAGGTTGTGTAAACTCCCCACTCACTAGCGGAGAGGTCAGAAATTTTAAGAAGGAAATGAAATCCTTAATTGAGGATCCTGTAGCAGTAGCAGAACAATTGGACCAATTTCTGGGTCCTAACCTGTACTCATGGATGGAATTAGTGTCCATCGTGGACCTATACTGTTTATGGGAGAGGAAAGGGTTATGATCAGACGAGCTGCTAGGCGAGCATGAGAAAGGAATAATCCCTCTGGATGCCTTGGGCTGGTGCCAGCAGAGCAAAAATACCCAGTGGAAGACCCTAACTGGGACTGTAATAATGCACAGCATCGGCAAAACATGAAGGACTTGTGAGATATAATAATAGCTGGAATTAAGGAGGCAGTGCCTAAGTCCCAGAATCTCACTAAGGCATTTGAGGTTCAGCAGAATAAGGATGAATCCCCTAGTGATTTTCTAGAAGGGCTTAGAGACAGAATGAGGTGGAATGAATTCTGAGCATCCTGTAGCACAAAGCCTCCTTAAGGTGAATTTTGTAACTGAGGCGTGGCCAGACATACAGAAAAAACTTCAAAAGATAGAAGGATGGAATACAAAGCCCCTGGAGGAGCTCTTACAAGAGGCTCAGAGGATATATGTTAGGAGGGAGAATGAGGAAGAAAAACAGAAAACTAGGTTAATGGTTTCCACAGTGGATTGTGTAATAAAGACTGGATAATAGGGGGAGTAAAACAGAAGAGAGGTCGGGTCCTGAAGGGGGGCAAAGAGAAGAAAAATTCCGAGGATATCGATCCAGACCTCAGTCAGAGAATAGTGAAAAGAGGTGTTTCAGGTGTGGAAAGCTAGGACATATAAAGAGAAACTGCCCAGAGTGGGAGAGAGAGGAGAAGCTACAAGCTGCCTTAAATTCAGAATAAAGGTGTCAGGGGTTTTTGAAAAATTGGTCCCACTAGGAGCCTTTGGTAAATATGAAAGTGGGACCTGAAGAGGAGGATATTGTATTTTTAGTTGATACTGGGGCAGCTCGGTCATCGCTGGCTCATAAAGCGTCAGGGCTCAAATTAACAAATGAGACTCTAAGAATAATGGGCATAGAGGGAAAGGGGATGACAGAACCACTTTTTGAAAACACTAAATGCAGATTAGGCAGTAAGACGATAACAGAACAACTCTACAGTATGTTTTCTAATCCCTAACACTATACTCGCATCGTTTGGAACATTTAACAACTATTACAGTTTTGCAAGAAAGAATTAATCACATAATTCAGTAATAATGTTTCTGAAACATACTGCTAACATATCTAGTAATATTTTACTTCTTAGATCAACTATTTCTAAGGATAAGTTACAGAATACAATGCATTGTGTTCTACTTCTTCAAACCAATTGCTCTTTCTAATATCAAATGCCTAAACAACATTCCAGTCCCACAATTCCCCCCTCTTTTTCTTTCACGGTGTTGATTTCTGCAATTCCTTCTTGTTTTTTTCTTAGAAAAAAAAAAACCAGATTTAGCAAACATGAAAGAAGCTAGCCCCTCTTCTCGAGGCCGAGCTGTCTCACACTGTGAGAAGGTTGGGATGTGAGAGGCAGGCACCAAGATACTCCCCTCTGTCTTTCTCCCGAGCTTATCTATGTGGAAGGGAGGAAAGCAGATATCCGCAAGATACTGATCAAGCGTGGAATAAGTTAATTACTTAACTACAGATTTATGCTTAAGCAGCAAAAATGCATGTTTGTCCAGTGTTTCCATGTTTAGTGAAGGGTTGAGAAGATTGTGAACCTGCAGTACTCAGCCAATGAGGAACCAGGGAGAAAGAGGTAAGCGTTGGGCAGTAGGGAATAAAAGATGTAACGCTGTTTTCTGTGCGTGCTCCTGCTTGCAGGAGTCCCACCATTGCAACTGTGAATGAAATCTGCTTTATCAGGGGTACCGTCCTGGAAGATTATTTGGCTATTTCCAACGAAGCTGACTGCTGATGCTCTGAGGAGCTTTGAGGCTGCTCTGAACTTGGAGTGAACAGAGGTGCAGAAAACCTTGTCAGGTCCCCAGAGAGCTTCCACCCTGCTGTTACCACAGGCAGCTTTGTATGGTCTTACCCATACGGCTGGTGTTTGTAAAAGGAGCAGCGCAACAGCCAGAGTTCCCATGAATGAGACTCTACTCCTTACTTTTTGAGAGCCAAGAGGAGTTCCTTAACATGAATGTTTATCCTATATGTCATAGCATCTGTTTCAGGAGTAGCTGCAAACCATGTGCCAACACTGGTGCAATAGAATGCTGGACTGGCAGTTCCTCTGCAGGGGGATAGGCCTTCTGCAGGTAGAGCTGTCCTTGCGTGTGTTTATTCACACACAGATGTCTAAAGAAGATTAGTCCCTTCATGCTTCTGAGCAGAAACACTTCTCCTTGGTGAGGAAAGGCCAGCATTCTGCTCTGCAGTCACTGAAGGAGATAAACTGCTCTCTGCAGAGGAGAGCTAGTGATGGCAGTGGTACAAGCCCACCTAGGAAAAGTATTACTTCTTTCCATCTTGCCCTGTTTGAGGATAGAGATGTTCAGACCAAGCAGTAGTAGATGAACAGTTTGTGTAGGAAAGAACAATGCATCTTTGAGACAATTATTTTTGAGAAGACAACATCTTTATCTTTGAATCCTGGGCCTGGGTTTTCCCTTGCCCTCAGAAGAAAACTTCTTTCCCTAGTTCTCACCCTTGGCCTGCGGAAGTGCTGCAACCCCAATGGTGCCTCAGACCTGGGAAGGAGGATTCTACTTTCTCTGTTCCCATACATCCCCTCTAAGCCGCAATGGCTCATCCATTTTGCTGATCACTTTTTTCTCCCATGCTCTGCGTCAGTGCTGTTTGCTCCCTGAGACACACTTGCGTTGTTCAGGGCCTCCAGCAGCTTCAGGGCAGCAGCCTGCAGCTCTTCCTCCATCACTGCCTTTCCCATGCTCAGCAGCTGCTGCATTGTATGCAGCAAGCTCTGTACGTGCCTGTCCTGGAGCCTCAGGAAGAGATCCTCAATGTCAGTGGCAGGCAGCTGTCTCTGCTGCTGGCTGCTGACTGTCACCTCTGTGGGGTGTGAGGTGGAAGGCTGCATTTTCCCCAGCAGTGGCAAGCCATCAGGTGAGAAACTGGAGATGTCAGCTCCTTCCATGTTAGGGCTGGAGCTGGATGGCTGGGTGGTTGCAGGAGAGGTGGGAAAAATAGGCTGGGGACTGAAGATAGCAGACAGTGCTGCATCACTGCTCAGGGCCACGTTGTCAAAAGTTTGTGTGCTGCCCAGGTTGGGCTTGTGCTCTCCCGGGCATGCAATCCGCTGTAGAGGAGAAAAACATTTCTCTAGAGGTGGTGGGCCTGAGGAACAGGTGCCTGGCCCCTGCCCTGCACTGTGACATTGGTACTCATAGCGCTGTCCCATTCTTCCCATTCCCTGCCAACATGAGCTCCCTTAAGCCCAGGGAGGGAAAGAACCTTCTGCTGTCCTGATCATATCTCTCCGTAAGTCTCCTTTTGTGACTCCTAGTTATCTTCCCATGAAGCCTGCACAACTCACTATTTCTTCTGCAGTAGCTTTGTTATTTCACCTTGCTTGGGAATGAGAGCTGGTCGTAAGGACAGAGGTGGCTCTCAGAGGTTCATTTTTTTCAAGAATACCTTCCCCAGTGTCTCATTTTTGGCAGGTGGTTGCAGGCGCCACCTGTGTAGACTGGTCATCTTGGTGTGGATGCCCCTGACAAGTGGGCTGCCCACAGCTCTCCTTTACCTTCCCTGATTATAGCCTCTTTTTCGCACTTCCTCATTTCACATTCATTGCATCAGTGCCTGGAGCACAATGCACCAGGTCATCAGGAAATAGTTAAATAACTCACCTTAATGAAATACCTTTTTGTAGTGCAGCGATAAAAAGCAAATGCACAGAAGTTGGGGAAGAAGGAAGTTGCTGGTAGTTCCGAGCATATGGGTCCTAGAAAAAGGCAAATAAAAGATGCACTTGGTGGTAAACTCCAGTACTGAGGTACAACCTGCAGCAATAATCTCAGTGTCAAAAGACATCTCTCCACTAGAAAACCTCGTGCTTGGGAGAAACTCCACTGCTTCCTGGTCGTCTCAGCCACTGAAGCCCTGAGAAGAGGCTGGTGCTAAGTACATGGAGCTGCCATCAGGTGTAAGACAAGGTGTTCAGAAATAGATGCCTTCCTCTCACCTGGGACTACTGCCCGTCCTCTCTCTTAACAGTTCCCAAGTGTCAGTCCCCTCCCTGGCACCTTCCCATGGCAGTTGTGGTTGCCTTTACCTTCTGGGATGACTCCATGGTTTTCATACTCATCCAGTTTCCGGACTATGGGGTTCTGGCAGCCGTACAGCGCACGAAGGTGGCAGGCGGTGCTGGCGCGTTGGGAGGTCTGAAGGGACCTGAAGAACTGGTGGTACTCATCATTGGAGAGTGGTGTGCCCAGTTGCTGTGCCTTTCCAACCCAAGGGCCAGCAGCGCGGCCCCAACCTGACAGCACTGGTGAGAAATGAAAGGCAGGGGGGTAGGAGGAGGAAATGCTAACCATGGCACGCTCAGAAGAGCTGTCAGGGTGAACCCAGACCTCTGTTGTCTTGTCTGGATGCGAGGTCCAGAACAGTGCTGTGAGAGGGTAAAAACTGAGGTTGAGGCATGGAGGGGACCAGCTCTGCCCATACTAACAGGGATGTAGTATTCTGGTGACAGTATGTGGCTGAGGGGCCTTCACCAAAATCTCTGGAGATTGAAATCCTGAGCTGGGAGGAAGGTCTGGGAAGTCATGGCTGGTACTGAGAATGCAGCTTTGCTATGAAACTTGGAGCAGGGAGGTGGATTCCTTTCAAGACTTTTGTGTCTGCAAATTCTCTTTGTCTTTTAAGTGTGTGACCTCTTGAGTTAATGCAGTGTATCACAACAGGTATGGATATGCCCTTAAAATGGTCCAAGAATTCACTGAACCCATGTGCAAAACATAAAGCCAATTCTTCCCTGCAAAGAACATTATGAAAGCTGGCGATATCAGACATTTGGAGGCTAGATGAGCCCAAATAAAAGTGCCATGTGCAATCTTAGTTTCATCTCCTTATGCATATGCTTTGTATCCATTATTTAAGTCCACAGCAAGCTACTCTTCTTTCCTTAGGACTTCAGTGTCCCTTCATTATGGAGACTTGACCTGTCCCACATGGGGAAGTAAAATTGTAAGATAGACTTGTGCTGCATTCAGGATATCTGCCTCATTTCCCACAGGGGTACGGAAGAAGGAAGCAGGAAGAAGCTGGAAGAGGAAGGGTAGTTTTGTGGGCGTTGTGCTAAGAAGTAGATTTTATACCTGGCTACACCACAGAGGCTTCTGTGTGATGCTGGGTTAGTGCCAGGCTTCTCAGTGTGGTGCTGATGGAATTTTGCTTACCTTGTGTGTTGCCATTTATATGAAGGCTGAGGTCTCCTAGAGCTTTGGAGTCTGCATGTGCTGTATTTTGAATGCAAGTGCTACATAGCATCTACTCTGAGAAGACAGGGCTGAAACATCTCTCAAACTGAGATTCTGAAAGTAGTGGGTATTTTTAACTTTAATCCTTCTCTGCCCTCATTTTGCTATTTGCAAAATCACTACAAATGAATTAACAGCTGTGAAGCACTAGAATGTAGAGTGTATAGAAAGTTCACAAGGAAGAGAGTCATTTGAATGGGATCTGCACATAAATCAAGCACAGAACAATAAGAATGACTGCTTACTGAACAGCTGCTCATTGCAAAGGCATTGTCCATCCCAGGACTAAAACAGCCAAAATCATGTGAAAAGAAGATAAGCAAGAGCTGTGTTGCTGTGTGCACAGAGGGAACAAATCAGGAGTTGCAAAATGAATGCAATTTAGGGATGAGGTAAACGTTCTTTTTGATGTTGCCACCTCTGTAGTCTGTTAATCTTTGTCTTCTTTTTTCTTGTAAAGGCAAACTTAAACATTTCTACATGGCTTCTATCTTGTTAGGATCTCTGCCTTCTTATTAACATCTGTGTGCCTGTAGATGCAGTGTGATCAAATAAAAGTGTGTAACTTCCCCCTTGAACTGACCATAGAGGTTACTGAGCCTTCTGTGAAACAGAACAGAATGAGACACAGCAAAGTGACTGTAGAAATCTACAGAAAGTGGGGGAATGAGGAAACCAGGAAATACGGGACTCTCCCATATCCTCTCACTAGGATGTAGGCTGATAGGCCATGTCTTTCTGTCCATTTCTTCCAACTCTAAAACCTTCTGTTTGCCTTTAACCAAGGTCATCTCTCACATCTCCCTCTGCCTCCCGTACCTCCTCATCTGGCCATTTCTTCCCTTCTTGGCTGGTTGTTTGAGCCCAAGTCTCTGCTCTCATTTCTGATCTGTGTGCCAAGCTGTGTCACATCTCCAGACTCCACCCCTGCTCCAGCCTCTGCTCAGGTGTGTCCAGCTCCAAGTCCTTCCTCCCTCAGCTCAGTCCCTCCCTGTCTCTCCTTGATGAATAACATACCAACTCCAGTGTATAAAGACTGGTAAAACTGTAAGCATCTGAGATCTGTGTATTGATGTTTTTTGGGGGTGCCCTTTTCTCTTCATCTCGCCTCCAGTGTGCCCACACTGGAGTACACCAGGGGTGAGGAGGCAAAGAGCAGCCAGGTGAGCCATCCTTCCTCACACCCTGACCTGAAGGAGAGACATTTTCTACTCACTGATCAGAACCAGGAGAGCCTGCATGACTGACATAGCACTGTCCTGCCTGAGCTGGGCTATCACCTGCCCGTGTCCTCCCTCCTGTACCGGGGGTGCTGGGACAGGCAGTGGGGAGCACAGCACGCTTCCCTTGTTTCTGGTGGTGATGTGTGGTGTCATAGACACCTTCGTTCTTTGCTCTGTTGTCCCTTGCTTCCGTTGTTCCCCACTTCCGTGCACCCAACAGCAGCTGTGGCAGATATATGTCCTCCCTATTACTGCTTAACTGAAGGTTGGCACAGTGGCTCCCTGTGCCAGCTGTGTCATGGGGCTGTCCCTTTGGGCCTCTGCCCATCATGTCAGGAGCTCAGTGCAGCTCATCTCCTTCCTCCTTTGTCTCACTGATGTCTCATCAGCCACGATGTTGCCTAAGTACATGGCACTGTCCAGGCATGGCTGACCAGCACCTTGTCCCCACCTGGGTACTCAGTAGTGTTTCAGGCTTCCCACCTTTTTTATGGCAGTCATCAAGCAGTAATGCTTTTCTGCCACATTCTCAGCTCTGCAAAAAATAATCTCTCTTCTGTATCTGCTTTTTTCTTCTGCAGGTGCTCACCATCTTGGGATGCATATTGACCGTCTGTTTGGAGCTCCTCTTGAATGATAGCAGAAAGGGACTGAAGCAGAAAGTGGTTTTCCTCTCCTAAAAGCATCAGGATGTCTCAGCAGGGTCAGGCCTACCTGCTGCCTTGTATGTTGAATGGGGAAACGTGGGGAGGGAGGGCTCAGCTTCCCTGCCGTGTTCCAGTGGCATGATGCGAAGTCATGTAACTGAAATGATGCAATGCCATTGCAGAGTTAGTATTTACATGCACAGTTTTTAAGCATCTTCTTTCTCCAACGTGTACCTTTCTGGCTGTTCAGAATTCAGCATCTTAAAATGCCACAGTGTGCTGCACAAATGCAACACAGAGCTAAATAGGTGACCTAATTTTCCATCCTACAAAACCCACTCGTACGCTGTACTTCTGCTCTGAAGAAAAAGTCCTTGTATGTTGGCACTCAAAACTGCCCAATCCAAATGATGTCAGTGCTCACACACACACGTGTGTAGCTGCATTTTTCAGCTCATCTCCAGCCCTGGGCTCTGTCAGGAATGAGGCAGCCACAGTGTCATTATGCTGAACAGGATGGGAAGTTCTGCCTTTGGTCTGCTATTGCTGCTGCTGATGTGTGAACAGATCAAAATCCCTCCCTCAGCCCTCCCTCAGCCTGGCTGAGTCACCGAGCAAATCCTCCTCCATGGAAGCAATGGAGAAGACTCTAGGCAGATGCAGAAAGCAACGCATGTGTGCGGGCAGCATTTTCCCTCTGCTTCAGCAGGACTGTACTGTGTTCATATTTAACACACCAGGAGGAAAGTTGACAGGGAGAAAATGGCTTCAGGCTTCTCTGTTTTCTGTACAGAACTCAGCAAGCTGACAGGCAGCTCTCAGTAGTATGTGCAGCCAACCCCGTCTTTGCTGTGTGAGTGGCCCTGGCTAGCAGACCCCACCAGCAGTGTCACAGTGTGTGGCAGAACATCAGTAACCCTGACTTGTGCTTCTGAGCATTATTTTATATCTGGCCTAGGATGCTTTCATTTCCTAAATCTCATTCTCAACACTGCTACTAGAACTGATGGTATTTGTTACATCTGTTTTCCCTCTCTGATCAGGAGCTGCTGTCCCTGACTTTTCTTTAACCTCGTGGGCAGAGTGAAGAGAAACAGCACTGTGTCCACGAGGAACTGAACTCTGAAACAGTGGAGGTACTGCTCAAAAGGTGAGAAATTGAATAGCGCATGCCTGAAGGAGAAATACAAGAGTAAATGCTGAAAATCTGGTTTTGTTGTGCTGCATGCTTCACGCTCATCCTACGTCTCAGCTTCTGTACTATATTCTCAGGAATATTTCCAGGCAAGGTATGCAAAAGTGAAACATGGTCTTGGGGAATCCAGGACCCTTTGAAGAGAAGTCTGTGTGAAATTAAATCAAATACCGTGTTTTTTTCAGCAAAGATCTATACTCGGAATGTTAGCAGGCATAAATAATCACAATGTGGCTTTTTCTTCCTTTTACTCTGACGATATTGTAATGTGTTGTTGGTCAGTAAGCTGTCCTGAGGTCTGTGCTGGGGGGGCAGTGCTATTATTTTATTTGTACTGTGAACGCTTTTCAGCCTTGAGTGTTATAAGCAGAACTTCGAGCATCAGTATAACCACTGTGGTGTTGTTTTCCCACATGAACAGATCAGCCAACTCAAAACCTGAGGGGCTTAGCCTGCAGCATTCTGCTCTGCTTCTGACCTCCCACACATAAGATGATATTGGCACTGTAAGCAGTGCCCTCCAGCTAATCTGCTAGCATTCATTTCCCAGTTGTGTTCTCTGCACTAATACAAAATCAGGAGCCTCAAAATGTTTCAGTCTAAGTGTACCTTTCCATGCTTGATTAATAAAGTAGTTTATCATTCTGTTCAGTTGCCTATCTGTTCTGTAGACAAATTCTAGATACAATTTGCTGCAGAATATGTCTGGTTTTCTTTGTAAGGAAAAGGTTTATGACTGCAAAGAAGAAAAGTACTCTGCTTGGCAGGGGATGATGTTTCTGTGGTGCTGTCTGCTTCCTTCCTTGATTAAGCATGGGAATGCTGGAGAACAGCAGTGATTCACAGAGAACAGGAAGAGAAAAACAGAGAGGGTTATTCATTGCTAGCTCCTCTGTTCACTCCAGCAGGTGGCCAGACCATGGGTGACATACAGAAGGCTCAATCTCATCAGGAAAAGCCTGCGAGAGCTGACTTGCACCCGTTCATCTCCAGAAGGCCCACTACAGGTACTCTGCAGGACTCTGATGAAAGACCAGACTGCAAGCAGGAGCTGGAGATGGAAAATGAGGTGAAGCTGTCTTTTGTAAAGAGGCAGGGAAAGGGAGCTGTCATGGCAGTGTGGGATTGCGAAGGTGATGGCACTCCAATTGGCAAGGTGGTCCTTGCTGGGGACAGGCCAGACCCTCCAGTGTGTGGGAACAGCACCATTTGGATTCAGCAGGTGGGAGAGAAAACCTACGAGTGTCCCGAATGTGGGAAGAACTTCAGCCGGAGCTCGTATCTCAGCCAGCACCAGAGGATCCACCTGGCAGAGAAACCCTTCAGCTGCTCTGAATGTGGGAAGAGTTTCACCCGCAACTCGGACCTGATCAAACACCAGCGGATCCACACAGGAGAGAAGCCCTACCAGTGCAACGAGTGTGAGAAGACCTTCAGCCAGAGGTCCAACGTGATCAGGCACCAGCGGACCCACACTGGAGAGAGACACTACCAGTGCAATGAGTGCGGGAAGAGCTTCAGCCAGAACTCGCATCTCATCGTCCATCAGAGAAGCCACAAAGGAGAGAAACCATTTCATTGCCCCCGGTGTGAGAAAAGCTTCAGCGACCGCTCCTCCCTTATCATACACCGGAGGGTCCACACTGGAGAGAAGCCCCACAAGTGCCAGGTATGCGGGAAACATTTTCGAGACAGCTCAGCCATCATTCGGCATCACAGGATCCACACGGGAGAGAAACCCTATAAGTGCACCGAATGTGGGAAAACCTTCCGCCAGAGCTCCTCGCTGGTGACCCACATGCGGACGCATACAGGCGAGAAACCCTACAAATGCCCTGTGTGTGGGAAAAGCTTTAGCCAGAGCTCAGCACTCACCACGCATCGCCGCATCCACGGGGGAGAGGTGTTGCCCCTGTACCATGGCAGCCTCTTGGCCAGCCCCTACCAGTGCGCTGAGTGCGGCAGGCGGTGCAGCGACCAACCCACTCTCATCAAGCACCAGACCACGCATGTGGAGGAGCGGCCCTACATCTGCGTGGAGTGTGGGGACAGCTTCCGTCGGAGCTCAGCACTCAATGTCCACTTGAGGATCCACCGTGGGGAGAGACCCTACAAGTGTGAGGAATGTGGGAAAACCTTCCGGCATAGCTCAGCTTTGGGTGCACACTTGAGGATTCATGCGGGATCCAAGCCCTACGAGTGCGCTGAGTGTGGGAAAAGCTTCCGGAAAAGCTCGACGCTTAAAGTGCATCTGAAAATCCATGTGGTCAAGAAGCCTTATAAATGTACCGTGGGTAGGAGGACTCTCTCTTCCTGTTCTCTTCTCCCATAGGGTTGGTTGGAGCAGAAAATGAGCAGAATTTGATTGTATCTGAGGGCGCGTGAAAAACATAGGTACTGAGAATTACAGTGGCAAAAGGCTAAGGAGACACCGTAGCAGCTCTGGGTGCTTAACCCCAGTGGTATGTTAAGTTATGAGGTCAGGGAGCTCATCCTAGGAACTGCGTACTGGCAGTTAAAAAGAGTACTGAGAGCTGAGGGGAGACCAAGTTCTGTGTAATTTGGGGACTGTGAGTATGTGGTAGAATACAAGCAGAAGAATTGGGCTTTTAAAATAACTTTTCAACAAAGTGGAAGATCAAATTTAAAAGGTCCAAGTTGGATCTCATTCAAAACTCTAGCTCGTTAGGCACTGCAGTAGACTTAGAAACTCATATTTTCCATTAAATATGGTGAGTTGACCCCGTATTTGAGCAGGCACTTCCAATTCCTTGAGTCCAAAACTGAGGAGCTGAACCTCAACCCGTTCTGTTTTTCAATCCTCTGTTCCAAATCCTACATGGGACGATGAATTCCTACCTCCATACACAACATCTGGGTGACAAAATGGCCGAGTAAAGCGAAACTGACAGAAGACTTGGACGTGCAAGCGTAGCCAGTTGGAACACTGCCCATCACCGGTGTTGGGCAGCTTTGTCCTCCTTGTTTTTTTAACGCCTTCCTGTTAGGGACATCAACAAAACGTGGGCAAAACAGTGGCCTTACATTGTTTAACCAAAAAAAAAAACAACAAAAAAAGGGTTCCCCCTAGATGTGTGTGTTATTCTTAGCACGTATGATAGGTTCCTACTGGTAGGCAGGAGACTGTTTGCAATTTTGTAGTCCTTTATGTGAGAGAACTCTTCTTCAGCTCCCTGCTGTTTGTGCTTTAGTAATATGTAAAGCTCGGTGTTAAGTTAGGAATTCGAGCTTTAGGTTAGGAATTCCTATATTACACGTAGTGCTGTGGCAATGACTGCATTACAGAAACCTCCTCTGTATTGCTGTGTTTTGTTACGAGGGATGTGTTTCCATCCTAAATAAACTTTTTCTTTTTTTTTTTTTCCTCTGTGTGATGCTGTTTTGTGTCACTGTATGCATTCATGGGAAAGGAGAAGAGAAAGCTCCGGGCAGACTTCATTGCGGCTTTCCAGTTCTTGTGGGGAGCTTACAAGTAGGAGGGGGCCGACTTTATACACAGCCCGGCGGTGATAGGACGAGAGGGGCTGGCTTCAAACCAACGGAGGGGAGGTTGAAGTTAGATGTTAGGGGAAATCCTCCATTCAGAATCAGCGCCGGGTCCGCCTCGCCGGGCACCTTCCGCCTCTCTCGGCCGTCCCCTCGCGTCACGGGAAGCGGGCGGAGCTCTAGCGGCGCTCGTTTCGAAGCGGGGAGGCCGGAATGGATGGCGGGACTGCGGAGGTGGGCGGCGGGCTGGCGGCTGGCAGGGAGCGGGCCGTGGGAGGGAGCGGGCGGGTGTTGTCCGATGCCCGCTCACGGCTGTCTGTGTGCCCGCAGGCGGTGAGCGGCCCGGGTCGGGCCAGCTTCCCGTTCCCCTACACGCCGTACCGCATCCAGGAGCAGTTCATGGCAGCGCTGTACGCTGCGCTGGAGGCCGGGCGGGTCGGGATCTTCGAGAGCCCCACGGGCACGGTGAGCAGCGGGGGTGAGGGGGGCATAGTGGCAGTGCGACAGGGCTGCTTGCAGCGTGGTGCTCGGAGTGGTGCTTGTGGAGGGGGAGCAGGGCAGGCCGGGCTCATTCCCTGCACAAGCACAGAAGCTGGGGTCCTGGTACAAGGTGTGTTTGCCACGTCTGTGGTGCCAGTTTTGGAACTGTGGGGACAAAACACAGAAAGAGGTGTCGCTTGCAGGGTCATAAAGTGCGACATCGGTATCTCTGTGTGTGGCCTTGGCCTGGTCCCACTCAGCTGGAGCCAACTCCAGGTGCCTCTCCTGTGTGGAGGAGCCGGTTACAGCAGTGACACCGTGTGCGGCTTGTGCTCTTTGTTTCCAATACCAGGGAAAGTCACTGAGCCTCATCTGCGGGGCCCTCTCCTGGCTCCGAGACTTTGAGGAGAAGAAGCAGCAGGAGGAGGCACGGCTTCTGGCTCCAGAGGGCAGCGGGCAAGAAGAGAAGCAGCCCCTGGTTTCTGGTGGTCTGGCGTGTCCAAACAGCAGGGATGCATCTGGGGAACCAGACTGGATCACGGCGTTTGTGCAGAAGAAAGAAGAGCAGGATTTGGTGCACAGACTGAAGGTTGAGAAATGCTCACGTAGAGAAGGGGGGAAGTAGCAATGCTTGAGGAGCAAGGATGGGTGACGTCATGGGTGGTGACTTGGTGGTCCGTGTCACTTAAAAGGGACGAGGCATTCCTGTGTAAGTTGTGTGAAGTATAGGATAGTTGCTGTCAACATAGCAACATTCATAGGCCTGTAAGGACAAAGGGACTGCTGACAGTTTTGTTTCAGAGTTGGATTATTTTTATTTTATTTTATTTTCTATTCCTGGGTAAAAAGGAAAGTAATTATGTCTGTTCTATAGGACTAGGCAGACTTCATCCTTCCATCATTCTCCCTTCATTTCAGGAAGAGCAGATCAGGAGGAAAAAGCGAGAAGAACGTCTTGAGAAAATCCGCCATAATGTACAGTTAAAATATGCAGCGAAGAGGAAGGTGAGTTGGCCTGCAGAGGTTAGAATCATGGTATCATAGAATCGTACAATGGCTTGGGTTGCAAGGGATCTCAAACACCGTTTAGTTCCAACCCCTTGCCATGGGGTTGACTGCCACCCCAGGGCAAGGCACCCATCCACCCTGATCCTGAACACCTTCAGAGATAAGGAGCCCACATCTTCTTTGGGCAGTTCATGGCAGTGCCTCACTGCCCTCTCCGTGTAGAACTTCCCCCTGATGTCTAATCTAACTCTCCTCTCCTTTGTCTTAATAATCTGGAGTGTTGATAATACTTGCTTGTACATGTGACTTGTCTCTATATTGTCCAGCCCCTGTATTTAGGGAGCTGTTAGTACTGGATTGCCAAATTGACTCCCTGAAATTTTTTATTAGGTTATCTTTTCAACATACGGATGTAAAAAGCAACTTGTGCTTAGAGAATTTTCTGTGGCAACATGTGTGTGTGGATTAAAAGGATGTCTGTTCTGATGGCTTATTTGCTTTTAAGTGCTAATGTTTGGGGTTTTTGGAAAGCTCTTTCTTACATAAGCATGTGTGGATGTGGTACTTCTGGAATAAAACCTGTAGAACTGGGATTAAATTTAAGACTGCAGGAACTGAAGACCCAAAAAAAAACAAGTGAGGTCAGGCTTTGGTTGTACTCCCCACTGTATGTGATTACCTTCATAGATACTGTCTCTCACAGTATTCTCCTGGGGAAGCTGACAGCCCGTGGCTTGGACAGGTACACTTTGCTGGGTAAAGAACTGGCTGGAGGGCCAGGCCCAGAGAGTGGTGGTGAATGGAGCTAAATCTAGCTGGAAGCCAGTCATGAGTGGTGTTCCCTAGGGATCAGTACTGTCCTTATTGATGATCTGAATGATAGGATTGAGTGTACCCTCAGTAAGTTTGCATATGATACCAAGCTGGGAGAGAGTGTTGGATGTGCCTGAGGGTAGGAAGGCTCTACAAAGGGATCTGGACAGGCTGGATCACTGGGCTGTGGCCAATTGCATGACCATCAATCAGGCCAAGTTGCAGGTCTTGCACTTTAGTCACAACAACTCCATGTAATGCTACAGGCTTGGGGCACAGTGGCTAGAAAGCTGCGTGGAGGAAAAGGATCTGGAAGTGTGAGTTGACCCTGAGCTGAGCATAAGCCAGCAGTGTGCCCAGGTGTCCAAGAAGGCCAACAGCATCCTAGTTTGGATGAGAAAATAGTGCAGTCAGCAGGAGCAGGGAGGTGACTGTCCCTCTGCAATCAGCTCTGGTGAGGCAGCACCTTGTGTGCTGTGTTCAGTTTTGGGCCCCTTGCTACAATAAAGGCATTGAAGTGCAGGAGTGTGTCTGAAGAAGGTGAAAGGTCTGGAGCAGAGGGAACTGCGATTGTTCATTCTGGAGAAGAAGAGGCTCAGGGGAGACCTTACCACTCCCTATGACCTGAAAGGAGGCTGTGGTGTGTTGGGGGTTGGCTTCTTCTTCCAGGTAACAGTGATAGGTTGAGAGGGAATGGCCTCAATTTGCACCAGGGGAGGCTGAGGTTGGGTATTAGGAAACATTTCTTCTCAGAAAGAGTGGTGCTGCACTGGCACAGGCTGCCCAGGCAGGTGGTTGAGTCGCTGTTCCTGGAGGTGTTCAAGAACTGTGTGGATGTGGCACTGGGCATGGTGCTGTTGGGTTGGAGTTGGACTGGATGATCTTAGAAATCTTTTCCAACCTTAATGATTCTGTAATTCTTTGTAAATATAATTGTATTGTTTGGAAGCATCTCTTTTCTACACACAGAAAGTTGACATGTATTTTTCTGCCATTTAATTGGGTGATCTGGCTCCAATAACCTTAACTTGAAGAGCTTTTTGATGGTATGATTTAATCTTAGAAATACCCACTTCAAGTTCCTAAACAGGCACTTATAAGGCAGCCAGGCTGTTTGTGTACTCCATCTCAAGTGCTGTGTCAACTCCTGACAAAAGGATGTAGCATAAATATCAAAGGTTCAGAGGTGAATGGTGAATCAAAACCAAGTAGAACAAAGAACTTCTTTCTCTTAAAGGAGAATGAAAAGCATGAGAAATGAGATTTGTGATAAAAAGGACAAAGGCAAATTTCAGAAACCCTATATAGATTTGGAAAAGCAGGTATTTCAGCTACCCCTGTAAACTGCCTTTCTTTATCATGCCACGGTGATGGAATGCTCATTAAAGTTAGAACATACCGTCTTCAGACTGAAGAAGATATGTTCTTTGTCAGAACAGAAAATTAATAAAAAACTGTTCTTCAACAATTTAATAGAATTTGTGCAGAGGGATAGACCTGTGTTAGAATGAGGACCACATAATGGGGGAAAAAACAAGAACAAGAGAAAATTTGTGCTCCAAAACAGGTATTCGAGTTTATTGTAGCCTTAGGTTAACTGTGAATTATTTGATTACATCCTTATGTGTTTGCTTGGTTGTTGGGTTTTTTATTTACAGTTTTTTTCTGAGGCAGTCATTTTTACTGACTAACTTAAGCAACTAATCCTGGATTGTAGACATATGGTCACTTCAGGAGTTAGGTGTTTAGAGGGTCCTTTGCACAGAAGGCTTTTATGTGGGCAAGTCTTTGGTTGCTGCTGTCACCTCCACTGTGTGGCACTGAACTGCTTCAAGTAGTTGTGGTGTGTCTGCTTGTCCTGCTGGGGATACACACAGCAATCCCTCCTCTGTGCTACGGGGAAGAGACTGAGCTGTCCTCTAAACTGCAGGTGGCATAAAGTGATGCAAGTGCTGCTTCCCTGGGTGAGAAATAATGAGATGGTGTGCTCCTTTCAGAGATCTGAAGAGGATGAGATGAAGCGCCTTCTTCAGCTCAGCAAAGAGATTCTGTCAGAGGGAGCTGGAGCAGCTGTCCCAGAGCAGCTGGATCACAATGAGGAGGAGCTGATCCTTGCTGAATATGAGAGTGACGAAGAAAAGAAAGTGGGATCTGGGTAAGGATAGGGGCTGAGGGGGTTCTAATGTTTTATGATCATTTTTGGCTTGCCTTAATTGAAGGGATTTCAGCTGTTCAGCAGCGACTGCTTTCTTGAGCATCTTACGCTGTTGGATATATAGGTGGCTCTGTCTTGTGCACATCTGGAGTTTCTTCCCCCATTGAAGCTGTGGTACTGATTGGTTGGTAGGTTGTTTTTTCATTAGGATTCTCTTTTTTTTTTTTTTTTGGTTGTTGTTGCTTTTTTTCCACTCACGGTCATCAGCCTCAAGTGTCTTCTGAGAAAGCAGGTCTTTCTTACAATGCATGACAACCTCCTGCCTTTTCCCATGCCTGTTTCCCAGAGCGCCTCTGGATGCTGGGTGAATGCCTTGAGATGAACTTTGCATTAGAAAAGCAAAATGCTCCTGGGGGCA